GTCAGCCTCTTGATCTCTTCTGTTCTTTGCTTGTGGCTTCATCTCCTGAACACCAAACTCTTTTAGTTTAAAAAAAACTCTTCAAGCTGACTATAGGACAGCTGTGAGGAAAAAAAACCCAAAACATACTAACTTCAAATTCTACAAAACTATTTTGCCAGGAGAAATGCTACAAAGCAGTACTGCTGGGTGGGCTCTGCTCTTCTGTGGACGTTGATACAAGGCTGTGATACACATTGTCAAGAAATAGGAAAAGTCTGCAGCAAACACTGCCACCCCTCTTTCCTCTAGGTATTTCCTCCCGATAGTTATCCCAGGAAAGGAGAGATAATGCTTGCCAGTCAGTGGTTCACTTTCATTCAGGATCTTATCTCTGCACTGCAATCGACCTGTGACGCCAGCTCGAGTAAACACACCCAACGAGTTAATGTTAAACCAGCTAACTTGGGTACCAGTAACTACATACCTGCAGCAGTCTGGATTTCACGGCAGGCTGCAAAGCTCACTCTGGAGACTGGTTAATAATCAGGCCATTAGCCTACTTTGGCTATTGCAGTTAGTACCTAAGTCACTAAGATAAAACCATCTCGGATTTGTCTATCTCAGCCATCAGAGCAAGAATTGTAAATTAAAGGTAATGCAGAATTTGGGAATAATGGAGTAAAGACATTGAGTGTATCCCAAACCATCTCAGAATCTTCCCCGCCAGCTTTAGACGTGTAACCCTGAGGGACATCAAATGTGAAAGCCCTTGGAAAGGACAAGTAATTATCCAGCACTATCTTTGAGATCTTCCAGACAGGAAAGAGCATATCCACCAACACTCCGTGCCCACTATCTGTACAAGATCCTGCAGACAAATTGTCAAAGTCTTCATTTCTAGTATCAGAAGTTCCTGACAGATCTAATAAAATCAAACTGGCAAACTCTTGACAGGAAATAATTAATTACGGCCAAAAAACCCATGGCTTTTCTTCTACCGGTCCTAGTATTACGACATGTGGATGCCATGTCAGATCTTTTCTATCACAAGTCTGTGTAATGTATTCTGCACCAGGAATCACAAAAACACTTCATGAATAGCATGAAATTAACATGAATATAAATGTGTCTTCCAAAGCAGAGAGCATGTTTTTATCAAAGTTTCAAGACCTTATTCGGTATCTTACCATAATCGTGGGAGATAAACATGGGTGTACCTATACAATAACCTGGGGGCCGCAAAGATGTTTCTACTGTTTTGTGGAATGACGATAATTATATTTAGCACTCATTCAAGGCTTTTCATCTTCAAAGCACTTTACAAACATTAATTAATCCTCACAACACCCTATGAGGTAGGTAAGTATTATTACAGTAGGTGTGATCAGGTTTGTGTAGGGGACTGTAGAGTGTGCACAAAGCCAGGGAAGGGCAGCAGAAATACATATTCCTGCAACTGCACATTTAAAGTCATATTCCTCTCAACGTATTTGCACACAAAAACCAAACCTCTCCACATAAATATATATACATGCGTGCCCACACAAATGCATACACCCCAATCTAGTTCTATTTTTATCTGTACTAAGGCACGCTGTTTTGGGGAAGGCACATTACCCTGAGTATACTGGTCCTGTAAGTGTTCTTCTGACATTTAAATGGTGCAACGTGTTTTGACGTTCTATGGTGGAGTCACAGTTCCTTTCCATGGTGAGAGTTCAGACTGTACAAATGTAGGACAGACACCCATTTCTGGTAGCTGAATGTTTTCTGATACTGTGGCAAAATCCATGCCAGGAAAGAGTGTTTTTAACAACCGCAGGTGGATAATAGGTTCGCAAAACACGGTAACAGATGGGTATTATAAATTAAAAGAAAAACAGAGAGGTTGAGAGGGAGCACTCTCTCTCCAGACAGTTACAGCTCAATACCTGCCCAACTTCTCTGAAGAATTACCAAGAGAACAAGGAAAAAAAAAACCTGCAGCTTAGTCATATTTGTATTCTTATTAAATGCAGGACTGCCTGAGGCGAACAAGAGCTGATATCATAATTATTGGCTTGCCTAGCCAGCTGCCTTCTCTCACCTGATGTAAGATCAGATCTTTCCAGCCTTTGGAGACTCTGTACCGCTGAGCCTCCACTCTCTCTGCAGGGCTGTTTGAATGACCTAATCCTGTCCTGGAGCAGCAGCACGCCGTTTTGCTTCAGTAAAAAGGTAAGAGGAAACCTCTGACAACTTCATATAGCCTTTTAGAATTCAGCCGTGAAAGCCAAACGGAAGGGGGAGCAGAACTCTTTTGCCTTGGCTCATCTATTTAATCTGAAGTCCCCGAGGCTGACTTTGAAGAACTTCAAGCTGAGGGAAGGGGAAGGTCAGCACCTACATCCCGTTCCTCAGCAACTCCTATAGGTATTTATCAGCCGCGAGTGAAGTGTAGCAGGAGAAGGAGTGAAGAGAACACCAGGTAAGTTAATAGACCCATTGGTCTAGTACTTGGAGAAATGAAGGCTGTAGGTGATTTCCCAAAGGAAAAAAAAAAAATAGCTCTTCTTGTCTCGGGTGTATACCAGCTTAATCTAAGCTTCTTTCTGTTCCATAGTTACAAAGAAAGCTGGAAGGGTTTAGCATTACCTGGGAAAAAATGAATTAAATAACAGAAAGACAAACAAAAAAAATTTTTCTAAAAAAAAGGGGGAAGTTTCATGTCTCTTAGATTCATAATAGATTTACTTTAAACTTTTCCAGTGGCGTATCAAAATCTTGGGAATTTAATATATTTTGAAATGAAGCTTGCTTTTACTACGGCCTCCGTTTAAAATCTGTTATTTTTGCCTTGCGTGTTTTGTAATAGTAGATGAAAACTTGGTTTAGACTTACTCCTATATTGAAAGGTGACTGAAGTGACATCCAGACAGAAGTTAGGATGTGTTAACTGCAGAAGTGACTAAATTTGAGTACTGCGAATGGAAATGTGTTTGTTGTTTCTTATACGCACAGGAAATATATTGCTTTCTTTTCACTTTTTAGTTTCAGACTGTTAGATTTCCAGCAAGAAAGGAACTGTTTGTGTTACAAACACAATAATTATCAAACCTGTAAATAACAACTGGCCATCACTCACTCTTGGTCCTCCTGCAAATTTACTGGATATCAGAATAAATCTTGGAGAATTAGACTGTATTCTGTAAATGTTGCAGTTTGGTTTATCAGAATCATATGTTTCTAACTTGAATATTGATATGATCTAGGTTGAACTGGATGAGTTTTAGGCTGAAATACTTGTATTTTATTCATAACTAAGTATGAGCATAGGAGAACAAAAAATACTAAATATCTAGAGTGTATATTTCTAAAGGAGTAATGGATTGTGTAGTTTGCTTTCAGCCAGGTGATGCCCTGTATTATAGAAGCAACCAAGAAAATATATAACTAAAGCACATTGTTTACTTTACATCCTGGTGAGGGGAGATGAACATGGGTAGAAGTAGTATTAAGGTAAATGAAATAAGGGACTACATCCTGGTAATTTGAACATCTCCACTTGCCTCACATGTTAAAGTATAGAGTGAGAAAGTACTAGCTTGTACGTGTCACAGATATAACATTGCCGTGTTCCTAGATATAACTGGAGCCATGTGTTAGTTACTGAGATAGGAGTCAGTCGAGTACTCCAGGGAGTAAATGGAAATATCTATATGCCACTGTGAAAGGTGTAATAGAGGAACCTGGCAGGAACAGATGAAGACACTTGCCATCACTGCAAAACACTGGGCTGAAAGAGGAAGGCTTAGAAAGAGGGACATCTACATGAAGCAATGTCTTTCTCATCCATTCCTTCTAATGACAAGCTTTTTCTTTTTTGGGAAAATAGCTTGCTGCTCAAATACTTTTTTTGAAGGGGATAATGAGAAAGACACATTAAAAAAACCCCAGAGACTGCACTATGTCCTCTTAGAGCATCCCTTTTGTAAAAACAGAAATAAAAAGAAAACATAGTTGTTTAGGATTCATGGAAACTAAACATTAACCACAACAACAACATTCTGATGTTGTTGCATGCAAACTCCAGAAATTTATCACAAGAAGTGGTGTCATGCGGAGCTGCTTTCAATCACAAAAACACTACCATAACCTAGTTTCATAGGCTGTTAAATGACCAAGGACAGGGAGGCAGTGATGCGGCCTCCAAAAAATCTGAAAGAGAAATTTCCAAGTCCTGCAGAAAATACTGATAATTGATTCACATTAGAACCAAAAGGAGTCTTTGATTACAGCCCAGAGTGACCACAGCTAGATCTGAAGCTAGAAATTCTGCAGTAATACATGCGCTAAAATTTAAAAGGCATAAAGTTGCAAAAAAACCCCAACAAAACCCAAAAAACCACCCATACACACACCATGTATTTCCCCTTTAAAAGGTAGGGACTCAAAGCACTGAAGAATGTATAATGAAGAATTTTTATATGTACTACTCTGTCCTGCTTATAAACCAAACAATTACAGATGCAAAATATTCTAGCAGCTCACGCCTCACTCCTGCAGAAACTTTGGAAACTGGCTCTTTCTGACTAGGTCCATTGGAAAGTAAGGAAAAGCACTGTTTTGGATGTGGCATAAATGAAACAGAATTTGACAGGTCAGTCTAGAAGCTGTAGAAATAGTAAATGGAGATAAGTTCCAAGCAGACGGGATTTACCGTTTGTGGCCACGTTCTCTATTGCTACCCAGAAAGCCTGAGCTTGATGATTTGGGTCGAACACACCTCTCTGCTCTCCTGCACCTCAAAAATTATTAGCTTGAAATACAAAGAGATTAATTATGGAGATAACACAGATTAAGCGAGAGTCCAAATAAAATCCTCCCCTTGTACATCTACGAGCAAGGTCAGTTCCACATCTTTTCAAAGCAATTCTTCATTTAGGTAAGATTTGAAAGCAAGGTGGCAGTTCTCAGGAGCTATGTAAGGTTGGAAGATGCTGGAATACCTTGAGCAGGGGTGCACTAAGAAGTGACCAGAGAACAGCATCATCCTGGCTGCCTTAGGAAGCAGAGCTGTGAGGTGCTGCTCCTTCTTCTGAGTTGCTGTGGAATTGATGCCCCAACGTGGTGCTAACAACAGGATGCTCCTTACATTAAGAACGAAAAGCAAAGTCTTAGTCAATTCTATTTATCAAAGACACTGTGCCATTTTTAATAAGATTAGGGAAATTGTTAACCCCTTTGCCACATTTCAAATATAAATTCAAGTCATGCCCTCATAATCAGAGCCACCTGCTTGCTACTGCCTTGACTGGCTCCTCACCCCATCGACAAACATCCTGTTATTTTTGTTCTTTTCTTTTAAATCAATGAAGTCCCGAAGAACACAGTCCATTTCTTGCACCCCTCGTGTGCAACTAAATCTCGTGCTCACAGATGAGATGCTGCCAATGCTTTTTTCCACGACACCGAGAAAACTCAGAGCCCTCACTAAACCCTGTTGCCGTGCTTGCTGGCTTTTTGCAAACACCATCTTCCCAAGGGGCCTATATAAAATCCTATATATACCACTATTATTCTTCCTTCAAATCTACATTTAAAAGAGCCAGGTATTCCAAACAACTGCGATAGAGTAGATTATTCTTTATTTATTTGGGACGCAAGATGTTTGGAGTTGTCCACAGAACAACAATGTTACCTTTTGCATTATATAAACAAAACAATAATGCATAAGATTATTATATGTATTTTACCTAAATTCCCTAACATTTTCAAATGAAACCTGCGTTCTTTGTACCCTGTTAAATGTTGACGAGTACTGAAGGGAGCTGCTAAATGTGTGGTTAGTAAAGTGATTCCTGTGTAGCCCTTACAAATCTCAGCAGTGTCTTTTGAGGTTTAGTAAATACATGTAAAATCACTTTAAGATGTTTGGATGAGACAGGGCTACTGCAATCCAGAGCATTATTATCTTTCTGTTGGTGAAGTGCTCAGAAATGAATGAAGCATATAGGGTGAGGTTCCATCAGAGTCATGTAATGAAGCTAAACATGCTGTCATTTTAACCCAATTTGTTTCCCTCTGTACTGCTGCCTCACCAGTTTGTTAGAGCCTCTCAAAGGAGCTCATCTGGTGTCAGCTTCCAACTTCCACACCTAGCCCGTACTTTACTCCTGGAATGGGTAGGTATCCCTGCCCTGCAAACTCTTAACTGCTGGTTCAACAGACCTGCCAGGACAGGTCCCTGCAACATTCCCCTCTGTGGGCAAATGGTAGGATGCCAGAAATATTAGACAGGAACCTGTTCTCCCAGGAATGCAAGTAATTCATAGAAGGAAATAATTTACTATTTTCCCAGCTGGAATAATTAAACAGCTAGGCACTGTCCTCCCAAGCTGCAGAAAAGAACAAACGAGAGGGATAAAAAGAGCTGGGATGTCCTTCAATATAAATTCTCTTCCAGACTAAACAACCTTAATTCTGTAAATCTTTCCTCATAAGCCACATTTTCTAGGCACCTGACCATTCTCACTCCTCTCCTATGGACTCCAAATTGGAGTCCATTGTTTCAAAATGCAGTGACCGAAACCGGACACAAACCTCCAGCTGATACTTCACCAAGAGGTGATTTCCCGAGTCTCACAGAACATACTTCTGTAAGCACCTTATACCCGCTCTCATGTCTGCCTCTTCCATGATGGCATGATGTGGCTGATTTAGGTTCAGCTCATAATCCATTAAAACCTCAAGATCTTTTCATGCCAAACTGCTACCCAGTCACTTGTCCTCATTCACTCTCTGAAGGGTTTACTATTCCTGCCGAGATGTTGAACTTGGTTGTTCTTGAACGACACTTTACTTCGGTCGGATCATTTTTTCTAACTCCTTTTGAATATTAATCCTGTCCTCTGCATACATATGCAAAGCCTTCCATCTTCATGCTGTCTCCAAATTTGATTAGCTTTCCTCTCTAGTCTATCACGCAAGCCATTAGTGAAAATACCAAGTAGTATCAGACTCTTTAAGAAATCCACTCAAAATACCCTTTCATTCTGACAACAAGCAGTCAGTAACTACTCCTAATGCTCTATTCCACCCATCCTTACCTCCTCTCTACTAGAGCTTCATCTAAAGTAATTTTTCTTAGTTTGCTTATAAGAACATCATGGGAGACAGCGTAGAAGCCTCGTAATGTCAGGCTGTATTACCTGTACACCTTCTCCTCTTCTTGCAAGGCCAGCACACAGGGAAGCTACACCGGTATGACATCTTCTTCTTAGCAAATTCATAATGGCTTTTACTTTTGCCTTTTTTCCTTAGTTTGCTGTGTTGGTGGTTTTTTAAATTTTGTAATTTTCTGGTAATTAAAGTTAAATCTGCCACCCGTACTTCCCTCATACTTTCTAGTTTCAAGACAGGCACTATATTTACCTCCTTGCACTCTTCTGATACAGCACTCATACTCAGCAAATTCTCAAACACCTGCAGCTCTGTAGTAATTTCAGCTGATTCTCTAGATTCACCAGAATGAAATTAATTGGGGCCACTGAACCTGAAGACGTCAAAAAGCCTCAGCCCTGTCCTCTGGGAAGTGAGAACACACGTATTCTTCAATGCATGAGATCAGAGGCAAACAGCTTTAATATTCCAGAATTTCTCATACTCTGACTTGGCATTGCCCCGTTAGTTTTCCATTGTGCTTTAAGGTCACTAATTAATGTATGTCCTACTTTTCTACCCAGAAATAGATTTGGGTTGGCTGGTTTTTTTCTTTGAAATGCAGAGTGTCTGGAGAGCACCTGATCTGCCATGTGGGTTTGGGGTCAGCTTTGTGATATCCGAATTCTGTTTTGGTAATACACAGAAACACTATTGTCTAACACCTTTTATAAGAACCTTTCAAAGCATTGAAAAATTACATACGAGGACCAACATTTTCAAGATTATCCATTAATGCAAGGTATTCTGTCTGGGATAGTCTGTGCATCATCTTCTGAGGCATTGAGCAATAATACCACTTATTTAAATCTATGGAAATTTACTGTCCATAGGTTATATCAGTTCAGTACACAGCATAAAATACCTGTACTCATATGGAAAACCTCTTTCCCTCACAAAATATTAATTCAATGGTTAAGACTCACTAGAAATCTAGTAATGGCTTCCTCAGCTTCTGTCCACTCTCACACAGGTGAGAGTACCCTGCAGCCTAATTTGACATGCACTGGCTAGTAGAAGTTTTCAGCAGATGAACTTAACAGCCAGAAAATAAATGGGGCACAGCATAATTCAGTCACACCTGTTCTTTTTTCCTCCCTGGCTGGATAAAAATAAAACAGGGGACAGTTTTCAACAGGGAAAATAAGGCAGATTTCTCTACGCACCCACGCGCGGAGTGGCTCAAGAGGACCACAAAGGGAACTGCAGGATTTGGCTCAAAGTGATGGTGTTCCTTATTGCTGAAAAGCCTCCACTGAAAAAGCAATTTTTTTAAAAGAAATTCAACAAAATCAGGAAAAGATCAGGTACGCAACAAGAGAAGATTTTTCCACATATGAAGACACTATTAAGCTAAAAGATTTGACAAAAAAATGACAAAGTAAAATTTAAGAGAGAATGAAAATGTGGAAACTGGAAATACGCATATACTGAAACTGAAGGTAGCATGTACCAGGAGTGAACTCCTTGACAATATGGATAATCAAATCTGACCATCATGGAATTCTGAACAAATAGCATCTATGATAACTGCTTAAGGTTTTAGACACTGTAAGAATCAAGTTTCCACCTGTAGTTCAAAACTACTAGTGCAAACTATGCATTCTTGACAAAATAAGAATTGTGATTCTTGTATGCTCACTATTCCAGCAGCAACGAGTTTCTCAGAAAACGTAAGATACGCCAAGAATCACAATAAGAAAAGTGACAACTGGAAATATTTAACTTGGAAAGAGAGAAGGAACAGAATACTTTACAGAAAACCAAATAAAGAGAAACTATATAAAGAATTCTTTGCCCTAGTTTAGCAAGTCAGATTTGATGACGTCTTCATTAGTGATGTCTAATGTTCAAACAAACACACATGGGTTTTGTAACAGACATAGATTTCCCTTACAGAAGCAACTGGGGATGTGCTTTTCATTTTTATATTGTTTTCCTGCTGATATTCTTCCCCTGACTTTAACCCAGCTGAGCCTGCATTGAGCAGGGAGAGTTGGACTAGATGATCTCCTGTGGTCCCTTTCTAGCCTCAACTTTCCTGGGACTCTGAATCTTTTCAATGGTATTTTTGCTACATTTATTTTGTAAGGAATTAGAAACAATAGCTGTGAAAACCAGGCACCTTATAGCTCTGCTCTACAGACTCCCAACCACAGCCAAAAATGGACTTTGATGAGATCTGCCATAGGAAGCTACTGTCACCACAAAACCAGTTGACAAAGAGAGTAAAGTATGAGGTTGCTTCCAGTAGCTGACTGGGCTCTTCACCAGCAAAGAATAACTAAAGCTGACAAAAGCTTCTCATATAGAAATTAATTTCACTCAGCCTCAGATAAAACTAATCCCAAACACAAATCTTCTCCTTGACTACAAACCCTTCATAACTGATAGCTACCGTAATGTAAAATTCTGGGTTCAGCTGGAAAAATACTAAATCAGAGGGAATAAATAAGTGAATGCAAACAAAAAATAGCTTACAATAAAACATGTTCATTAATTTCACGATACTACTTTATGAATAAATCAAAAAGTCTCCAAGCAGCATGCTCTTTGCTCAGAAACCTATTTTCCCCTATTGATATTTTTTTCATCCTGCCGAATTTGCAACATTATATTCTGCTATTGCATTACAGTCCGTAGTCCCCCCAAATTCTATAATATTATAAATGTAGTCCAGTACTTGTTTAGTCAATCTGAAAAAGCTGAAACACTAGAATGAGTGAAAAACTGTCTTACTTGTAGAGGTCATTAAGAAGGAGGAAAAAACTGAGCTGATGCTGTTGTCGATGTTGATACAGATTTGTGGGAGTTCTATAAAATATAAATATATTTTAATAGATCAATTCTCCTTTTTCTCCTGAAATTACTGTTCTTAAGACAGAGTTAGCAATAATATAAAACTCTACTTCTAGTTCCTTAATGAATATTCTGTATCACCTGTGCTTTAAGCATTGGAAACAAACACCTACAAAAAGTTTAATTTGCATTATTTGTTATGTATAAGAAAACAGAATGGTTTTTGTAATATGTTTAGTTTTACATCTCTTTCTTTAATGTGGTAATTCCCTTGGATCAGTTAAATATGTTTTATGTATTATTGAAATTTAGTATTTTAAGAGGAGAAATGAGCATAGTTTTAACCTCTTTGTATCTAGCTGCTCCCAAAAATGCAAGATTCTATTTCAATAAGGGATTTAATTTTTCACACTAAGGAGAGAATGGACAAAATCCCTGTTAGAGGCGGCATGAGTGTCCCAGGAATAATCTTTTGTGCTTCATAAGCTGCGTGATGATATATGTGTGTCAAATGCAACAGGAGTACAGGAGAAAAATGCCGGTCTCCTGTTTAATCTTAGCCTTTTTCTTCTTTCTAATTTTCATCTCTATTAAGAATTTTGTAACAGCATCAAGTACGTGCATATAATTCAATGCACTTGCTTCAATGATGCTTCCTCAATGAAACAGAGACTGTTTATTCAGACTGTTTATTGCAAAACTGTTTCTGGACACAGTTTTTGGGTGTTTGCTGTTTCTGTGAGATTCTTTTCCTTTATTTCAAGGGTGTTATCACCTCCTGTTTTGTGGCAAACGAAATCTCTATTTTCTAAAGTGACTGGGCCTTCCTATAAGTGAGAGGTGGGGAAGGTTACTTATTTTGCATAATAGAACTGAATTTCTCCTAAAAAAGCTGTGAAATTCACACTTTCTAGTTTTGTGGTTAATTTAATCTAGTTTTAATTTTTTTTAAAGTACTTTGCCATTAGATACTTTAATTAACCATAATCTGGGACAGAAAGAATTAAAAGTATATTTGTTGTTTCAGTCATCAATACAATAGACATGCTTACCTTGAAGGAATCACTTCAGTAGATGGACAGACACATAAACAGACAGAATTCAGAACTTGTAAGACACCATGGAAAGTAGATACACTGTTTTTAATACATATATAGCTCTCAAAGGAGATTCTCTATTCCTTTACACATTCATTAAAACATTAAAATATTTAAGCATGGAAAAGACTATCATAGTCTCCATTTCTTAGATCTCTATTGATAGAATAGAATACCTTTGAGATTTTAGCCCTCAAGAGGGATATGTATGTCACAAATATCTGCGTTTTATTTTCAATGTTTTTTCCTGAGCACAGTGACCATTCGTACTGCTCTCCTGTGCAGTCAGGTCACGGCCAAATAAAAAGATTAATGTAAAAGCACCTCATGTTTCACAAGGAGATGGACCCCACTGAAAAGCTCATCCTAGATGAACAAATCACATTATTTTGCCAAAATTTTGCATCAAGCATTTAAGTCATGCTGGCTTGAGCAACGTGCTTTTAAACAACTGGGAATGAAGAGAACCGGGGAAAGAAACTTAGCTTTGTTTTGCTCTTCTTTTAGAAGAAACAGTTTTCACAGAACTTGAAGAATATTCCTGAAAGAGTTAAAATAGCGTAAGATGAAGAATTAAATAAAATTAATTTAAAAATCAAATAGCTGTTCTTGCTACTCTTGCTTTTAGCAGTAAGGCAGCCGTGTTTATGAAACAGAAATAGACTCGAGGAATAAATTAGGCTTTGGGAAAACAGGTGGGTGTAGCAGAGGAATGAGTACTTGGACAGTGGGGAGCGATCATTAGTGAAGCAGAGAGACGGTTAATTGGGTGAATGAACTTTGGTGCAACTTAGACTTGTCATATATGGCCATATTTACAGGTTTTAGAGACTCTTATGCCGGTCTCGTATCTCATAACAGTAACTAGGGTTGGTTTTAGCTGTGCCTATTCTCTCATAACTTCCCTCATCTTCAGATTCTTTTTTCCCCCAGGAACTTCCTTTGTACTTATATTAACAGCTGACATTACGTTTTCCAAGGCTTACAAAGAACGAACATAATCCTTCCTGGGAAGTTTAATGCCTTCATGCACGACTTCTTGTTTTGTTCACCGTATTAGATTTGTTTTTCCTGCTCCCTCCCCCCTTCTTTTAGTCTTCCTCGTTTCAAGCCACTTGTATCTCATCTTGTTCTCAGCAGTTATTCCTTCCTAAAGGATTAGCGTATTTGTATGTTACTCATTTTGCAAAACAACGTCAGCCCATATTTTGTCATAAGGTTCTTTAATCTCCAAACTGTCCCTCATTTATTCTTCAGCCTGTCTGTCTCTTGCTCCTCCTGGAATTCCAAAGACGATGCTTTAAATTACAAAACTCCATTCTCAACTTGATGCTGGGGTGTGAACATCTTTGTAATTTTGGGGGCAGGGAGAGAGAACTATTGGGATAATCAGGCATTGGCCTTTTTATTTTTTCACCTATTTTTTTTTCTCTCTCCCTAACTAGAGTGTTTACTTCTGCAGGTAGGCAGCTATATCTCTCTGGAAATGTGCTATCTTTTGCACTGCAGAGAACTCATGGCATTGAAACAAGAAACATTCTCTGGTTTTATACGTTTAAAACAGTGTGCAACGCAGTGCACATCATACTGAAAAACATCCATCCTGGGTGAAACCAAAGGCCCATCCAGTCCAGTATCCCATTTCCAGCAAGGGATAAGACTAAATGCCTGGGGAAAAGCACAGAAACAGCAAACAGAGTTTGCAAATCACAGATGCCTTAAGTTGGAGCTGGTGTCCATCCATTTAATAAGACACAATGGATTTTCCTTTCCATGAATTTGCCCAGATATTCCTTGAAGTTTATACATCTCCAGCACCCCATGGTAGGGGCTGGCACAGCTCTGCTACACGCTGTGCAACAAACCACCTTATCTTGAGAGGTTTGAATCTCCTTCCCACCAGGCTTTTTGGTGCCTTCAATCCCTGCTTACCCTCTCTGCACCTGGGATTTAATACATCTCATTCATGCTTTCACCATCACCAACCTTCTTTTTTCCCAGGCCTCCTCAGCCTATCCTGTACCACTGTCTCCTTTTCCAGATAGGGAGAACCAGAACTGCACGCTGTTCAAGGTGGCAATGCATCGTGGGTTTATACCGTGGAAAAGAATGTTTATCTCTTTCCTCTCTCCTCCCTCACAATTCTTAACATTTGACTTCACTTTTGTGATTAATATTATCATTGAGCTACTGTTTGCATGTAACCATCCATCATTACTCTTCCCTGAGTTTTAATGGTCAGCTAAATGCCTTTTTTTTTTTACAAAAAAAAAAAAAAAAAAAGAAAATTAGGTTTCTTTTTTGGAAAAAAGACACCACATCTCCCTCTATTTTCAAAACACACCCAGCGGTTTTTTTTTTTTTTTCCCCTTTTTTTTTTTTTTTTTTTTTTTTTTTTTTTTTAATTTTTTTTTTTTTTTAAAAAAAAAAAAAAAAAAAAGGAAGTTAGGATTGCTCTTTGGTAAACAATGTTTTTGTGCTTCTCTTTAGGTTTACCAATAAGGTTAAATGGCCCCTCTCTGAATCTTATAATGTCTTTTTGCTGCTCCTCGCACCTAATCTTTATCATAACTATTCAGAATAACAGTATCATCTGCAAATTTTGTCATGGTGCTACTCACCTCTTTTTCAAGTTGTTGGTTTTTTTTAAACACATTAATTGACACAAAGTCTCAGCAGACCCCTAAAGGTCACCCCCAGCATCAGTGCACTCCTTCCTTCTGAAAGTTGAACACTCACCTTTACCTTTCATTTTCTATTTTTTAACCAAATATTTATCCATGCAAAGACCTTTTCTGTGGATATTCAGGATTTCAGTGGATATTTACTTTCCTTGAAACCTTGTGATGAAGCGTCTTGTCAAAAGCTCTTTCTGGTAACCTAAGCAAATTATCAGCCCAATTTCCCCAGTATGCATGTTTGAAATATTTTAACATGCCAATCAGTATTGACCACTGCACACAGAGAAACACTTAAGTTTTGTGGACAGAAAGGCTATTGCTAGGACTGGAGGGTGGGTTCCCTCCAGAGAAATAAATACCAGTCTCCATTACCTGTTCCTCCATCTTTACTACTTTATATGCAACATTTTTCATGCATGCCTAGGAATAGGTGTCAGCAGAATACATCACTCCAAATCAGCTGTGCTGCTATGAGCTAGCTGAATTAGTTACTACTTGCTAGGTGGATGCTGAAAGACCTTTGATCTTTAGAGGCCAAAGTAGGAACTTGAGTGTCAGGGGTTTTTTTGGTTTTTTCTTTTCAAAGGTTTCTCCAGAAACTAAATGCTTGAACTAGGGCTGCATTACTTCTGACTACATGCAATTTCACTGAGAGTCTTAGAGACCGGTGTAAAAAAGCCCGCATAACCCAGACTAAATGTGTAAAGCAAGTACAAACTGTAGTTCGCACTTTAATCCAATGTAAAACTAACAGAAACCGTTCCAAGGAAAACTGAAACTTACAGCACCTTTGCCTCCTAACACCAAGAACACAAAACAGGTGATAACAGGTGAAATTCCCCTTTGTATACATGTACTGTAGTCAGACATTACCAAAGCAAAGACCCAAAAAAAGCCTCACTTAAATACCTCCTGAACTTGGTTATCTGCGTCTCTGCTGTTTCTTCACTTCACAAATCACCGCTCAGTGAATCAGTCATTCAAAGGCTTTTTTTCTTTTTGTTGGGTTTGTTTTTTTTTTTCTTTTTGTTATTTTAACATACTCAGCTCACGACGGGTGCAAATAAGATTCCCAAATCCATTCCTCAGATCAAATAAAGGTAATTACAGAGCTTACTGTGGGCGATTCCCAGTGGGAGGGTGGGAGTGGCCACGGGTGGGGCTGCGAGGTGAATACTGTGCAGGCACAACAGAGAAAATGGGAATGTACCACACCCATCATAAAACATGCTGCCACAGCCAGCAACAGAAACCATTAGGGTGGATCATCATACACACCTTCTCATAAAGACAGAAAGATGGCATGAGATCCCAAGATGAACTCTCAAGTCACAGGGAGATGAGCGTGACTCACCGCCAGAGAAAAGGAACGTAAAACAGATTATGAGGCTGCTGAAGGAGCTGTGTGTGCCCCTTGTCCCCTCCACGTCCCCCCTAACACGATGTTCCCCAAAAGGGATTAATAGGGTACACCGCATTGCATACAGCCCTTGAGCTATCAATAGGTAATTCATGAGGACAGCTATTAATCACGTTCATTACACTAGGGCATAAGAGGGAAGGAACAGGGCCAGGCACTCTGTGGGGTGCAGAGTAACTGGCAATTCCTGACCCATGTTATTTATTATATCATTCAGTGGCTCTCACATTTTTTGAAACGTTAACCAACTCTTAGCAACTCTTAGCATTTGCCTTTAAAACCAACTGACGTTTGACTTTCAATTAAAATTCAATGGTGAACTCTAAAAAGAGCCATCTTAGAGAAAATATTGTGGACAGCCACTAGGACCACTAGGGCAACCAGGAACATGGCCATACTAGAAGGGAAAGGGATACATTGGAATATATCGAAAGAACTAATGATGTGATAGAAGAAAGTAAAGTGACCTGGACTTTCATTGAAGGGAGAGGAAAGGAAAGAGGATGGATAAAGCATTACTTAGAAGGAGGCAACCTACATGATGGGGGAAAGGGACACTGAAGGGAACAAAAGATTATATGAAACAGGGCTATAAGAAAGGCAAGAGTGAAGCACAGATGCAGGGACTGTGAGGGATACGTGGAAAAGAGCAAAGTGATAATTCCCTATTCTATTCTCCTCGCTTTCAGCAATCTGCAGTTCATTAATTTTTGAGCCAAAGAAACTATCTCTTTATCTACCATTCAATTTAATGGCTATAGCTGCTGTATCTTTGCTTCTTCCTATGATTTTTTTTTTTTTTATATAAGTCACATGATTTTACTGAGAGTTCTCCTACACTTGTTGCATCTCTACATTGCTGCTCCCCAGCCCTGCTGCAGAGTAAAACTTTGCTCTGAATTCAGGGCAAAGAATTCAGTTACACACTTGCTATAAGCAGCCCGTGAACAGGCTACGCCGTTATCTCTTGTGCTGGTTTGACCTGCCAACCAAGTTGGTTATTCATGAAAGAATCACACAGTTTCTGTATCATGTTAACTACTTCAGCTCTTGGAACTGTGTCTGACTCCTTGCTTAGATGTCTAGTAGAAATAAAGCAATGAAATTTCATACTCCTCATTCAGGAAACAGCACAATCATTCATCCAGAAAACAGGATGGAGTATGCAAAGGATAGGGTTTTGAAAATACCCTCGGAGTTGGAAAGCTGGTAGGGAGAGCTAACATCTTTTTTTTTTTGTCAGGTTAACCGGTGTAGTTGGAAAGACGTGTTAGTGTTTATTATGATGAGGAAAAAAGGTGCGGGGAAAACCAAGTCCAAGTGGCAAGTTCATTCACCTTCTTAGCTAAATATTTC